AAAGACAAAGAAACTCTAAAAAACGTGTCTCTATTTATAACAAAACACAATCCTAAATTGATTGTGATTCTAAAAACGAGTCTGCCACACCCTAGTGTGACACACATCACACTCATAGCAAACATGGCAGATTCTGCCACACCAGGGTGTGGCAGACACCACACCCATGGCAAACAAGGCAGATTCTGCCACACCCATGGCAGACACCACACCAGGGTGTGATGGAGCCTGTTTTGCTTATTCTTCACGTTTTTCTCAATTCCTTCCTCAATTCCTTCGCCGTTTTCACAATGCAAACCAGAGCTCCTTGTGATTCGTCCGCATACAATATTAGAATTAATATAAAACTATAATCATTGATCATCACTATAACTTCGGAGTTTTGGTGTAATGGTTAGAGGAACTAAATTTAAGATGGTATCAAAGCAACTCAGGTTTAAATCCCACCGGCTAAGAATTAAATACGGATTTTCTAAAAATTGACACCGCTCCGTGAGTCCATGTTTCGTCCCATAAAAAAGGACGCTTGACCTGCGGGGGGACTTGTTAAAATTAATATAAAACTATAATTTTTTATCCTCACTATAACTTCGGAGTTTTGTTGTAATGGTTAGAGGAATTAAATTTAAGATACAATAACACTCGCGTAGTATCTCAAATTTTTCTAATGCCAATTACTATTAGGGTACCTTACCGAAAATCCGATTTTTCGGAAAAAATTTCTATAGTATATAGAGTTTTTTTCCTTGTAATTTATCCTATTTAAATCGCTTTTTATATATCTGTCTTTGTGCGTGCATGATATATGCATTTCGTAAGATGCATGCCCTAAAAATATGGTGTAGGGCAAGTTCACATCTCCATCAAGCCAAGCAACCACCACACCATAGATAGCAAGGGGGGGTCTAAATAATTAAGGCTACACACCTAATCATTCCCTGCGTATTTGATTAGTTTGTTCACTTTATTAGAATTTTGGATGGGCAGTTTGGTAATAATGACTGATGAACCCAATCCTCTACGGCGCACCCATGCACCCCCAATAATCATCCATTTTCACGATGATTAATTTTTTCAAATCACGAGTTTTTATTTTCACGAAGGGGCTGAGTTAAGATATCATTACACGTGTTTTTACTACTAGCTAGTTTTGACTCAGATCAATATACAATATTCATACTAAGAGCCCGTTCGGATGGGGTATTTTGTCCCGAAAATTCGGAGGAAAGCTGCCAAAAAACTGTTATTTTGGCAGCTTTTCTCCTAATTTTCGGGACAAAATACTCTATCCAAATGGGCCCTAACAGTTAATGTATTGGTACGATCAGAATATTCTGTCACTGTAATTATTTTTTTCTCTATCAGATTTTTGATCAAGCGTTTTTATGCGAGTAAATACTTTTAAAGTTATTATTAATCGTGAAAAAATTTATTTGGGGTTGACTTTCGGGTGCCGGTCAATTTTGATGTCGTAGGACAGAAACAAAAGAAATTAAAACGGTGAGATGAGAAAGGACGAGGCGCTGACTCGCAGTGTTTACGCAGTCAGCGCGCGTGAAGGTCAAGGTAGATTGTGGGCCCTGTCCAGTGTAAGTGGTGTGGGCTTTGCATGGGCTTGTCTGCACGTGTCACATGTCGACACGTGATCTGCGTATCGTAATCATTGGGCCTCAGTAGAGGGCCTTTGGCCGGAGAAAACGAGGCACGAGGGAGAAAGAGACAAATTCACTGATCAAAACACGGGCCCTGCTCTTTATCTCACTGGTTGCTTCTTTATTTTATCTTATTTTTGTTCATTTTTATTTATTCTTTGGTTCTTATGTAATATGAAGATCAATTGCATGATTGGATTTTACTAATTTAGCTGACTGGATTACTGTATTGTAATCCATCCTTTTTCTTAAAAAAAATACATGATTAGATGGAAGCTTAAATATACACCATAGTGGAACAATTATTTTTCTTGAATTTAAGCGTATCTGGTAAAATAATTCATTTATTCATTTAGCACATACTCGACTCTAAGATTTAAGCTCCAGTTTTTTTTTTTTTTAGGGGTGTGTGTGTAGAAGAAGCCCAGGTTCAATTATTTGCCAAACCAGGATTGATCCTACAGGCTTTAATATTCTAAAATACATATAAAATAAATAAATTTCTTTTTTTTAAAGTTGTTGATACTTGAATTTACCTTTCCTTTCAATTTAATATCAAGGCCGGCTGAAGGCATAGGTCACTAAGGCATATGCCTAGGGCCCCCATTTTATTGGGGCCCCAAAAAAATATATCCTATATATATATAATAAAATATAATTATTATTTTATTTTGGAAATAAAAGAAGTTGACTATTGTTAGGATTCTAAATTATCTTTAATTGATTATTTATTACTATAATTATCTATAATTATCTTTATCTTTGGAAAAGAACACTAATAAAGTTTAATTATAACTTTTTATATTTTATCTCTATAACTAATTAGATTGTAACGGTAAAAAAAAGAGAGAAAAACACATATTAAATACTCATTCTCATTTATGCATAGTTTATGCATTTTTCTCTCTTGCTAACTTCTTTTATTATCTTCTCATTCAGTCATCTTTCATATTTGTTTAATCTTTGATACTCAACATACATAATTGCAATTCTAATCCAGAAGGCCCCAATTTGGGTCAATTATTATCCTAGATGCTCATTTTAATTAATCTAAATAAAAATTAATATTTGTTTGTTCTTTTATCATATTCATGCAAGTAACAGTGTCAGACTTTAAAGTATCATCAAATTAAAAGTCGTCTTGAAAGTGTTAAAGCAATAAAATATCAAACTCCAAAAATAAGAAATGCTTTATATCAACTAGCAGAAGCTAGTGATGATCCTAAAACAAAAAGTGAAGCAATTCCTTTAGCAACATATATGATTGAAAATTTTGAATTTTTATTAGATATGATTATTTGGTATGATATATTATTTGTAGTTAACACTGTTAGTAAATTTTTACAATATTAAGATATGAATATTGTCATTGCATTAGATCAACTAAAAGGTCTTGTTTCATTTTTTTAATGACTATAGAGAAAATGAGTTCACATCTTCTATGATTCGTGCTAAAGAGATTGCCAATAAAATGAATGTAGAACCAAAATTTCGTGAAAACATGTAATTAGAAGAAAGAAAATTTTGATGAGAATGAAACTAATGTGGTGAAACTTTCACCTGAAGAATCTTTTAAACTTAATTATTTCAACTATATAGTTGATCATGCCATTTAGGTTTGAACAGTTTAAGATATATGAAGATAATTTTGATTTTTTGTATGATGTAGAAAAATTATAATTGCTTGGTGATGATTTTCTAAAAGAAAAATGATTGCATCTTAAATTTTTTTTAAAACATGACATGTCATCTGATATTGATGGTTTAGATTTATTTACAAAACTAAAAGTTTTAAAAGAAATAATGAATCATGAATTAAAAACAGCACTTGAGATACTAAACCTTATAAAAAATTAAATTCTTTTCCCAATGCATGGATAGCTTATAGAATACTACTAACAATACATGTTAGTATAGCTTCAGTAGAAAAAAGTTTTTTAAAATTAAAATTAATAAAATATTATTAACGCTCAACAATGTCTTAAGAAAAATTAAATAATTTGGCAATTTTATCAATTGAAAAGGATTTATTATCAAAACTTGAATATAAAAATTTAATTAGTAACTTTGTATCTCAAAAAGCCAGAAAATTAAAATTTATATAAAATCTATTTTTAAAAACCAGTGGCGGATGTATATAGAGTCTAAGGGGGGCCGTGGCCCCCCCAAAATTTTGGGGAAAAAATATGATAGGCTGAGTAGGTTTAGGTTCCCCCATTTCAAAGCCTCATAAAAAATATGATATACATTCTCTCAGTGACTTAGGTGTGGGGGCCTGGGGCGGATCGGTGCCAAGTAGGATCCGTGAGCGTGCGCTTTTGTTGTAATAGAGTGGGGTGCAGCGGGTCAATTTAGCCCAATGGGAAGGTTTGGAAATGGAGGTTAATTGTAGCCGTCCATTTAGTGTTGGACGGTTCATGATGACGGGATGGCACACGCTTCAAGATCTCGTCAAATTAATTTCCTCCCTTCCGATCTCTTTCTCCTCCATTCTGCTGCAATTTCTGAAAGCCTCATTTCACCAAAAAAAAAAACCCCATCTCTCTCTTTAATTTTTTTAAAGCCCCTCCTCACCATGAAGCTCAAGCTCAAACCCAACACCTCCCAGATTCTCCTGTGAAAAAAATTCAATTTGGGGCTAAAATTTGGGGCTTTTCTCTAGAAGGTGAGTTTTTTTATCAAAGCTCTATATGTGTATTCGCCTATTCGGATCCCTTCAAGAATCAAAATCGTCTAAAAAAACTTAGGAAAGTCTCAAGATCACTATGAAATATTGAAATTTAATCTCTCCAGGGAAAATTCATTTTTTTTGAAAAAAATGGTTAGGGATTCGTTATAGGGCTTGATTCTCTCCATTACCTCTTATCTCTTGCTTATTTTTTTGCTTCTTTTTTCATTTTTGCAGATTCTTTGCTTTGCTTCAAGATCGGGATTTTGGAGCCAGATAGAGGACACGAGTGAATCGGAGTGATCCGTGTTCTGGTAATTATCTTATCTAACATTCTCTTCCATTGATTTGATTTCGTGCTCTTTTCCCCCAATTTCAATTGATTTTTTGGGGTATTCTAGCGATGGATTCTGCTATAGTTTGGATTTAATTTTTGGAAAAATCTGAAATTTCTGTCATTAATCATTTGATGATCGAACAAATGATTGGGGATTGTTTCTCACTTTTACGTTATTATTGGATTCTGCTATAGTTTGGAGTTAAAGTTCTCACTTTTACGTTATTATTGGTAGATTCTATGCCTTGAGAATTAATTGGGGATTGTTTCTTTTCGATCTATTCATATGTGATTGAAATTCTTTACTTGAACTTCACAGGTCCGTGATTAAATTTGAAATAAAATGGGAAAATCCGTTACAATTGATAAGTTTTTCCAAAGGAAGAGAGGAAGTGAATTAGGTCATGCTGCTCCTATAACCCCTTCACTAGCCTCAAATGATAATGATCTTCCATCTGAAAATCCTCCTAAAAGGTTTAGAAATCCAGACGGTGAAGAAGTTGATCTTAATTCCTTAGAGCGTGATCCAGGTTTACGTCGACAAATATGGGAATACCCTCTTGACCAACGGGAGGAGATTCGTCGAGCTTATTTGAATCTAAAGGCATATCAACCTATTCTTCAAGATTATCCATTAAATAAGGATATTAAGCATCCTCGAAGATTTCAATTTACTTGGTACGAGCTTTTTCATTGGTTGGAGTATTCACCGGCTAAAGATAAAGCATATTGCTTTCCATGTTTTCTCTTCAACAAGCCATCGGGGTGCAAAAATCAAACTGCTTTTGTTGTTGATGGTTTTGATAGTTGGAAGAAAGTTCGAAGCGGAAAAGCATGTGCTTTCCTAGGCCATATAGGAAAAGATAATCTATCTTCACTCCATCGTAATGCTGAAAAGGCATGTGAGGATTTGATGAACCAACCGCAACATATATCAAGGCGATTCGACAACTTTAATGCTGGACAAGTTGCAACTAATCGTCTTCGGTTAAGAGCTCACATACTTGTGGTGCGATTGCTTGCACTCCAAGGGATTCCATTTAGAGGCCACGACGAGAAATCTGATTCGTCCAATCGTGGCAATTTTCTTGAATTTTTGGATGTGTTGGCCATGGAGAATGACGAACTTTCAAAGGCAATTGCGAAAGCTCCAAAAAATGCCAAATATACAAGTCATGATATTCAAAAACAAATACTTCATGTGTTTTCAGTAAGAGTGAAAAATGCAATTCGTGAAGAAATTGGAGTTGCCAAGTATTGCATCATTGTTGATGAAGCTCGTGATGAGTCAAAAAAAGAGCAAATGTCTATTGTGTTGCGGTTTGTGGACACTAATGGATTCATTCAAGAACGTTTTTTTGGGCTTGTTCATGTTTCTGATACTGCAGCTTTGACTTTAAAGAACGCTATATATTCTGCTTTGGCTCATTACAATTTGGATGTTCAAAATATTAGAGGTCAAGGTTACGATGGGGCCAGTAATATGAGGGGTGAATTCAATGGATTACAAGCTTTGATTATGAAAGATTGTAAGGCTGCTTACTATGTTCATTGCTTTGCTCATCGGCTACAGTTGGCTCTTGTTGCGGCAGCAAAAAATCTGACTCCCATTCATATGTTTTTTGACAAATTAATTTCTATAGTTAATATGGTTGGTGCTTCTTGCAAGCGTAATGATGAATTGAAGAAAGCTCACGCGGATGACATTGCCCATTTGACTTCTATTAATGAACTCGAGACAGGGTCTGGACTTAATCAAATTGGCACTTTACAACGAGCTGCTGATACACGTTGGAGTTCTCATTTTAGATCATTGTCGGGTTTGATTAGGATGTTCAGTGCAGCATGTACGGTATTGCTCAAAGTTATGGAGGAAGGGCTTCCTTCCCAACGAGCCGATGCAACATCTGTTTATGATGAAATGACTTCATTTGATTTTGTGTTTATCTTGCATCTGATGAGCGAGATTATGGGCATCACAGATTTTCTTTGCCAGACTTTACAAAGTAAGTCTCAAGACATTTCGAATGCAATGGAGCTTGTGTCATCTACAAAAAGATTACTACAAGAGTTAAGGGATGACAAGTGGGATAATTTGCTTGAAAAAGTAAAGTCTTTTTGTGTGGCTCGTAACATTAATATTCCTGATTTTAGTGCTCAGTATGTTGATAGGCGGCGTCGAGCTCGTGGTCATCAAGACATCACCATTGAGCATCATTATCGAGTAGACTTCTTTTATGCCGCGATCGATTCACAAATGCAAGAAATTAATGTGCGTTTTAGTGAAGATGCGACGGAATTGCTCATGCTTAGTTCTGCTTTAAATCCTCAAAATGCATCTGAGGCTTTGAGAATACTAGATATATGCAAATTGGTTGACAAGTTTTATGCACAAGATTTTACAAGTGAAGAAAAAGAGAGCTTGAAGATGCAACTAAATCATTATGAGCATAATGTAGTCAAAGGGTCAGACTTCAAAACTCTTTCAACTATTTCTGAGTTGTGTCAAGCATAATGTAGTCAAAGGGTCAGACTTCAAAACTCTTTCAACTATTTCTGAGTTGTGTCAATGGTTGGTGAAGACTAATAAATCTGCTACATATGACCTCATTTTTAGAGTGATCGTGCTTGTGCTTACTCTTCCAGTTTCTACTGCTACTGCAGAACGATCATTCTCAGCTATGAATATCGTCAAGACTAGGCTTCGAAGCAAAATGGAGGATGCTTTCCTCTCAGACGCATTAATGGTGTTTATTGAAAGAGAAATTGCTAAAAGTCTGAGCATTGATGCTATCATTGAAGACTTTGAAAATTTTAAGGAACGTCGAATTCCTTTTAGTTAGAGAAGTTTTAGTTATAAAAAATTAGATGATGCTTATTTGAATATTTTTAACATAATTTTTGTCTTCCTCTTTTGAAATATTTTGGAGATATTGATGTTGGCTATTCTACTCATTTTATTTGGATTGTGGAGTATCTCTTGTGAATAAAATTATATTAAGAAAAATTTTCATCTATCTTTTGTACACGGCCCCTCCAAAATTGAAATCCTGGATCCGCCCCTGTTAAAAACTAATATATATATTTTTTAAATATTAAGGCCTCAAATATTTTTCTCTGCCTAGAACCTCAAAAATGCTTGAGACGACCCTGTTTAATATTACAAAAGATATTCAACCATCCCATATATTCTGTCGATGCATGGAAGCTACTATAGTACTATAGATGAATATGATACATCACTCAGCGGCCACTGATATCACACGTGAAGCTAGCTACGAGACTCACATGTCTGTAGAAGAGAGAGCGGCCCACGAACATTCAAGCTGTCTCTATTATTTATGCGCATGAAGAGATGATGGCAAACTTTGGAGAAATTTTGGAAAGCAACCCCTTTCCAAAAGTAATTGTAAAAAACAGCCTACATAGTACATACTTCAAAATTATTTGTCAAAAACGATTCAGTTTCAGCCAGTTGGCTGAAACTTAGTCGTTTTTTGGCGAAAAAGATATCTGGTTTTTAGCAAATAATTTTAAAGTAGGTTGTTTTTTACAATTACTTTTGGAAAGTGGTTGCTTTCCAAAATTGTCCGGCAAACTTTATGTAAATACTTACGGTTAAGGTATATATGCAGTACATATGAATTGCCGCTCATAATTAATTTCGTACAGCATCTGCCTCATTAATAAACCACCCCAAAAAAGAAATGAATAGAGACCAGGTGATATAATACAAACATTTCAATTCGTTCTCCTCAACAGTGACGGAGCCGAGAATTTCAGGGGGGGGCCAAAAAATTTAATAATTAAAGCAATGTCGCATACGTATTCTGCTCTATTAATTAGTATCTAAACTTTATTGATTACATAACGAGAGTTTCAAAATCTATTACATGAGGAGAGTTTCAAAATCAAATTCCAAACTGGAATGCAATGTTTACATAGCATTTCTTTTTAATTTGTGTTCGTTTCTAGAAACCATTTCATGACATCTTCCTCATCGATGCTACAAAATACGTATATTCAATATATTGCGCAAAACAACCATTCGTATACTTGTTCTTCATTCGGTTTTTAAGGTCATTTTTGAAATTTGCTACTGTTAAAAATGATCTCCCAACACTTGCCTTTGCAGCAAGATTAGTATCAATTTTACCAATTTATACACCAAAGTATGTAACAAGTCCATCTTCCATTCAATCAAATTCTTATCAAGTTAATAACTTTTAAATTAATAACAAAAATCATGATGAGAAACACAAACACTAAATAAATTATGCAGGTATCATGTATAAATCTCAAAGTAACTGACACCACATTCAAAAAATTTATCTAAAATAAAATCAATATCATTATATAGATCTGAAAGTAACTAATATCACATGTTAAATACCATATTACAATAATTGAGCTTGGATGACTTTTAATGTTATAAGCTTACATTAGTTACGCAACAATGCATACTTTCATGTGCAAGGAGCCAGAAGTTTAGCAAATAGGTTGTGAACGTCAAGATTATTGGGCGACAAAGTATGTTTTTTTTTTTCATTTTCATTTTTTTTTCTGAGAAAAGACGGCGGGAACACATATCCCCCGTTGCTTCATTAATAAGAGTTTAACAAAACATCCCAAAATATACAAAAGTTTGCCGAAGCAAAAAGAGAAGCGGAAAAAACAACAACATATCAAAAACAGATAGATAAAAAAAAGCGATTAGCGAAAAAAAAGGTCATGAAGGACACCATACATATATATAGGAGACAAAAAACAGGAGGTAGAAACTAAAAAAAAAAGATAAACTCTAAGTACAAGTTTCATTACAAATTAAAGGGTAAATAATAAATAAGGTTGAACTATAATAATTTAATTGCTTAACATATGCTAAAGGATGTAGAAACTAAAGCACTCGATCACATTTTCAAACTCTAAGTGCATCATATATAGATTTATTCAACGCTATCAGTTATCGGCAAATGAAAGGTGAGGAGCTAGGAGGATTATATATCTTTTCTTATGAAAGAACAAAAGAAGAGGCATGCTGTTTTCTCTCCTGTATTTTAAGCAAATTATTAGATATGTCAGAATTAATTATCTTTTACTTTGTCTATCATCTCTTTTTATGAATGAGGCGTATAACTAATTAACTGTATCCACATGGAGTCGAGACATGAACTAACAATTAATCAGTGGTTAGCTTGAGCGTTGATTATTAGCAGCATGTTTTCTCAATGCAATAACTAATAATTAAGCAAAACGACTTTCTTGATTTGGTTTAGGTTGTATAAAAAGAGACGAGGGGGGTGTTTCTAGCGATATAGATTAATCATGCACAAAATTTAAATTAGAAGAGGGGTTAAATGTAATTGGTTGCAACTTTTGTAGAGTGAGTCTTTGCTCTGCCTTCCTGAATTTAAATTAGAAGAGGGGTTAAATGTATTCGAGCAAGTATAAATATAGAAGGAAAAAATCAATACCAAATTTATTTAGATGATCTGGATCTTATACGGTACAACTTTCTAACTATTTATTCGTTTTATGTTGAAAATTAAAATGGTAAAATTCTCACTCAATTAGTTATAGCTTCGTTAAAGCCCATATCTATGGGCTAAATTAGGGCCAGTTAACTAACGTCTAACCCATGAGCTGATATTAATGAAAGAGATTTTTCCATAAGCTGTCACCTTTAAAATGAGGTCATTATCTTGAGACCACCTCTCATTGTAAATTTATCAATTAACCATATTTAAACATAATTTTGTTCCGATCGGCCACCTGGACTTACTTTTAAATCAGTTTTTTTCTGTTTAGCTTTAATAATCAGTTGTCAAATACTATAAGTATACTAGAGAGATGATCCTAAATTGGAGCTATTCTGGCCACAATCGCGAATTCGCCACTGTTGCTATCACTCACGGACGTATGGCCGTCCAAATCTAAAGCCAAACCCAACCCTAATATTACTCAATCACATCGTGAGTGTCAAAGGGTAGTCGCTTTCCCCCACCGTTCTCAGTCTTTTTCCCATAATTAAAGTTAGATGAGGTCAATTGCAAAAAAAAAATAGTAAAACTGTAGACTCGGGTGGTTGATTGCCCCAAAAAAATTTGTATAAAAATAGTTTAAGTATGAATTGACAAAGAAATGTGATTTATATAGAATTAGCCTATTTTAAAGGTAGTTTTAGGGAAAAAATAAATTCTACAATGGAATGATTCGGGCCCATTCTCTCTCTCTCTCTCTCATGCAACAGTGTCGATCTCTATCCCTGGCGATCAATCTCTACAAGCGCCTCCACCTCCGGCGATCTTCAACAGGCAACTACCGTTTCCTAGAGGAAAGTCCCTTTCCCTTAACGTACAGTTTCAATTCACAATTTTCCACGGACTGCAAGGTGTTTGTTTAAATGCCTATATGAGTTCAAACCTACGAAATGATGCTATTTTCTGTGCACTATAATAAGATGCATGCGTATATTTGTGAAAGAACTAGCTAGCTCCCTCCGAATTCGAACACGATTGAAAAACCGTACGCAGTTGATCCCATTATTCCAACTTAATTAGAAATGACAACTCATGCTTCAGCTAGCGTCAAATGATGTAAATCTTAGAACGCTCAAGTACCCGGAACTCTTATTAGGTCGAAACAAAAACCGATCGAGTACGAAGAAACCTTATGTTGAAAAATGAAACCACGCACGTGCAAAGAAATCCACAGTACATATGATCTCTTGATTGCATACGTACAAGAAAGTTTAGTCGAAAATGAAAATAGCTTATATCTGAAGCGGTTGACCTGGTGATGCTACAAACAAATCACTTACTTCCCAAATTTGTACCCATTTCCATAGTTAAACGAATCCTATGGGAATATGGTCTTCGTCGCGGTTATATCTGTTCCCTCTCTTTCGCTTCGTCCTGTAAATTGTGACGCAAAGTATAAGCATACGGACTAAATACATTGAAACTTGATGTAAATTAATACATTCTGATATCAAGAAGATATACCTTCGATTTTTCATAACCTGCTGATCAAACTTCTTAGCCAATGTGCTATTACTTTCTGCGGATTCAGATTTCTTCGCGGTCCCCTTAATCCCTTTGCCAGTTTCCTCTCCAAAGTCTTGAGAATTCTTCGCTCTGGAGTCATCTTTTAATTGCGTGTCTTTTCCAACTAACTGTAGCTTATCACCAACTAGATCGATCGAGATCGAGTGTGAAGAAGACATGGTTAATTGCGGAAATGAGAATATACCAACATGACAATAGATTACCAAACAGAGGAGAGGGGGGGGGGGGGGGAATAAACATGAGCGTGCTCTCTTTGTCGCCGGCATATGTTTGCCGTTATTTCGGGGTCTATATGCATGGAGTGTGTTTGATTTGCTGGTTCCGATGAATTGCGAAAATAAATTTGAGGCATAAATCAGTTAAGAAAGAGTAGGTTTTGGATGATTCAGATTCATCATGTGGAGACTAAGATTCGGTTTTCAGCATTAGAGGGAATAAAATTAACTTGTAATTGAGCTTCGCAAGGAAAGAGTTAAATGGAGGGTAAGAATTTATTTCTTGGCTGTAAGAATTTATGTCTTGGCTGCGTTTGCAATTTAGGTTCTGATGTTAATTTACCTGCATTAGATGAAATCATCTTAATTTTGATTTAGGGCCTGTTTGGTTGGAATTTTTTAAGCCCGAAAACGCCCGAAAGCCTGACACAGTGTCAGGCTTTCGGGCCTTTTCACACCCAAAAACAACCAAGCAAACGCGCTCTTAATGTCTTAGGCAGTATTTATTATTCAGGGAAAATAGGGTAGCTATATAGAAAGAAGTTTCTGATACGCATATTC